ACTTCAACTTTTATCTTATGTCAATAATCAATTTATTTTAAAATTTTAAAAATGTTAATAATTCATTGGATGTATATTTTGATGTGTTTGTTAATTATCACTTTACATGGGTTATCTAAAACCAAATTAATTGAATGTGTTTCCCCAATTTCTTATATATTTTGTGCTGAAAAAAAAAAACACATCTTTTGATTTAAACTTAGTTGGCACATTTACATCTAAATATTTTTAAGTTGATTTAGATTTATATCATTTTTCATATGAAATTTAACGGGCCAAATTTCTTTTAGGCGGAGAGGAATATAATCGCAGATGATTTTTCTCCCTTAACATAAATCAAATTATCATTACTTTATTTAAATTTTTAACTTCTTTGTTTATATAGTCTAATTAAGGATATTATTAAAATCGATTTCTTTAATAATATGGACAAGTTAAAAATTTTATAAATTAATTAAATTATTAATTAATTTATTTATTAATGAGTAATTTGATTTTTAGAAAGTAAATAATTCATTTTTTTGTGTGAACCATAAAAAATAAATATTATCTTTCTATTTTTATGTGTGAAAATAAAATAAAAATAAAAATAAAATTTTAATTATTGCTTGTCTTTTGAAGAGAGCTCAATCTTTTTCCTATTTAAAAGGAGCTCATCCTCCCTCGTTACTGAGCATAGTAATGAAAACTGAGCATAGTAATGAAAAGATTGAAAAGAGGATTCTTCGAGAAAATGATACCCAAGAGAGATAGGATCCTTTATTCGTTTCTCATCAATTTTGGTTCATATTTTGAAATATTTGATATTATAATTGTTATAATTTTATGATGCATAAGAATATTTTAATTTCAAAATTTTATGATTAATAAATAGTGATAATTAATTTATGATATTAAAATGATTATTTGACTTATAATGATCTTTTAAGTTTAAATGACTTTCAAGATTGATTTAATTATCAAAATTTTTATTTTTAGATTAATATAATAATTTTAATTTATTTAATTAGATATATCTATGTTTAAAGAATTATGTGCATAATTTTATGATTTAATTAGTTTTAAATTAAAGATCATAAATTTAAATTATTTAATTTATAGATTTGAATTACTCTCTAATAATTTAAAATATTCAAGTCTAATTTAATAAAAAAAGTTTAATTGGAGTTTGACCTAAGTCAAGTTGATCTATTAGTTGGGACGATCCAACCCATGTGGCTAAATATAACCCAACTCATATGACAATACACGACCCAACTTATGTGGTCAAGTATAATTCAATCCATATGGTCATGTATGACCCAGCCCATGT